TTTGGGTGGCTAAGGACCTTTGTTTCCCTGTCATTTTGGGAGCGGACTTTATCAAGCACACTGGCCTAATTTTGGATTTAGGCAGAGGTCAGTGTTTTTTCCGATTTGCGAGACGGGTATTGATATTTTTGCTGATGAAATTGGTGGTGGTGCTGCGGTAGTTGAGCCTGAGATACCCAGCAAGCCAACAATTGATCCGTTAGGGCATCTGACTACTTGCGAGGCTGAAGCCATCAGAACCTTGTGTTCTCGTTTCCCAGATGTGTTGACGCCAAAGCTCGGAGTCACTAACCTGTTAGAGTACGAGATTCGTCTCACAGATACCCGTCCCGTTCGTTCTCACCCATACAAATTAGCTCCACCCAAAATGGAAACCCTCAGAAAAATCATTGACGAACTTCTGGAAAATGGTGTCATTGAACCTTCCCGTTCGAGCTACGCTAGTCCAGCTTTTCTCGTCCCAAAACCCAATGGCAAGTCCCGAATGGTTTTGGACTATCGCAAATTGAATGCGCAAATTGAAATCGACTCTGTGCCTCTCTCCGATTTGCATTCTGCGTTTGATTGGTTCGGTAAGGCCAAGTATTTTTCTGTTTTTGATCTGAATCAGGCCTATCATCAGATTCCTTTGAAACCTGAGTCTCGACCTCTCACTGCTTTCTGCGTCCCGTGGAATTTGTATCAGTTCACAAGAGTTCCGATGGGTCTTGCTGTGGGGGCCCAGACTCTCACCAGACTCCTTGATTCCATCTTTCATGATGTCAAGTTCAAATTTGTGTTCAATTACCTCGACGATCTCTTGGTGTACAGTGAGAGTTTCGAAGATCACCTGATTCATCTTGAAGAAGTCATGAGTAGATTGAATAGGGCTGGCCTTACCGTGAATCCTGACAAGGTTAGTTTTGCAAAGCCGGAAATTTCGTTCCTTGGTCATCTTATTTCTCATAGAGGCGTCTGCATCGACCCCGCTAGAACCCAGGCTATCAGGGAGTTTCCTCCTCCCAGAGATGTCAAGGGTATTGCTAGGTTCATCGGCATGGTAGGTTTTTACCGACGCTTCATCCCCAATGTTGCTGAATTGGCGGCCCCTCTCAATGAGCTTCGGAAGAAGGGCGCCAAGTTTGTCTGGGGTGAAGCGCAGCAGACGTCTTTTGACCTTCTCAAGGAGGCTATCATGCAGCCCCCTGTTTTGGGGTTGCCGGATTTCAATCAAAACTTTGTCCTGCAAACAGATGCTTCCTCCGTCGCAATTGCGGCTGTGTTGTCACAAGAGGTGGATGGTGTTAGGCAGCCAATTGCGTACGCCTCACGCACTTTGAGTCCCTGCGAAAAGAAAAGCTCTTCTGTGTATGAACTCGAGGGTTTGGCTGTCGTGTTTGGAGTCAATAAATTCAGACGCTTTTTGGAGCACAAAGAGTTTTTATTGGAAACCGACAACCAGGCACTCTCGTGGCTTCTTGCACATCCACGCCAGCTTGGGAAAATTGGTCGTTGGGTTGTCCAAATATCGTCCCTTAAGTTCCAAGTGCAACACGTTCGAGGCACTCAGAATGTGATTGCGGACACACTATCTAGGATGTACCATTCACCCGACGATCATCCTTCTGACGAAGAGCAACCGGGTTGTGCCGTGCTCTTGGAGTTTCCACTCGCCTTTTCTGATTTCATTCCCCATCAGCTGAAGGATCCTGAGCTGGCAAAGATCATTGGTGAGCTTCAAAATGGGGGAGCCCACCCCCCATATTTTCTGTCCCAGGGTGCCCTTTGCTGTCGCGCTCGACAGCGAGGGAAACCTAAAGTTGTGCTGCCTAGTCTTCTAATCCCTATGGTCTTTGAGTATTTTCATTCTTCTCCTGTGGGTGGGCATTTAGGTATCCACAAGACCATTGCGAAGGTTAGGGAAATGTTCATCTGGAAGGGTATGGATCGGGACCTTGCTGCTAGGGTGCGTTCTTGTCAAACGTGCTCACTGAGCAAGCCCGCTCAAAACACTAAGTTTGGTTTGTTGTCATCTGAGGTGGCGGAAAGACCTTTGGAGAAGGTTTTCATTGACTATGTAGGGCCTCTCCCGCGTAGCAAGTCAGGAAATAAGTTCCTTCTTGTTTGTGTGGATGCCTTCTCCAAGTTTTGTTGGCTTTTTCCCTTAAGGAATGCCACTGCACAGCTCACCGTGCAGGTACTTCGAACTCACCTCTTCCAACATTTTGGAATACCCGCCACCATTGTTTCCGACAACGGAACACAGTTTGTTTCCCATCTGTTCAAAAGAATGTGCTTTGGGCACGGAATCCGCCATGTGACTACTTCCCCTTACTATCCACAGCCTTCTCATGCTGAAAGGTTCAATCGCAATCTTCGCTCCCTTCTCATAGCTTTCCATGCTGACAAGCAGACCACCTGGGGAATTGGTCCGGAGGAAGCACAATCGTGGTAGAATAGACAACCCTTTCCAGGTGGGGGATTTGGTGTTTTGTAAAGCTCATCCGGCCAGTTCGGCTGTGGACAAGAGAGCTGCCAAGTTGTGTCATCGGTGGTCAGGTCCCCACCGCATCCTGAGGTTTTTGACGCCTGTCACGGCGGAGCTTGGAGATCCGCGGACTGGAAAAGTGTTCTGGAGGGCGCACATTTCTCATCTCAAGCCCTTCCGCGGAACTCTTCCGTAGGCATTTTTCTTTCCTCTTGTGTCTGGGTGGGAAGTGCACTGGGCCAGAGAACGTGATCACTTCTCCTGTCCCCTGTGTTCTGTGAAGGAATTTCCCTCACAAAATTTTCCAGCTCTGGCCAGAGCAAACCCTGGGGGTGAGTTTTCCCCTCAGTTTGGAAGTCCCTTGGCGTTCCCCACCACAGACACTTGAGTTGTCTTTCAGGTCAATCTCTTTTCAGGAAGTGGGGGAGAGGCTTGTTTGTTTGTCCCTTTTGGAGAGGAGTGTCCTCTTTTGGGGAGGGAGGTTGAGCCGTGACTAATTCCACCGGGCGAATGTCACGACTCATATTCAATGGTTCAAGTGTTTTTTTTATAGTAGGCTAGTTCAGTGTTTCGTTTGTTACTTCCACGACCCCGAACAAGGCTGTGAGTCTTGTTCTTCTTACTCGGACCGCCTAGTGTCAGAGGCTCCGAGACATTGCTCCTGTCGACAACGAGTTGATAATTCATCCTCTTACATCTTTATTTTGTGGCATGTTTAAATTGCAGTTTGCCTTTATTTTATTCAGGGTGTTATTAACGTCGACTATGGATTAAATTTTAGTACGCCTTGCGCGCCTTTCAGGGCCCATGTGAACTGTCAACCCGTGAGGAGGAACATGTAGCAGCCCGCATCGGCATTGACGGAGTGGATTCTACTACTCTTGGCCACCCCTGGATCATGGCCCCCCTCTTCCGTCATGCTCGTTTCCCCCTCCGGTGCTGCTTGCCCAGAACCATTGAACTGAATACGCCCTACCGCAAGTTACTTAGGCCTAATTTATTGTTACCGCCATGGACTGAGAGATTTTAATTGTTATTTTGTTAATTTGTGCACAGATCTCTGTTTATTGTTATTCCATTTAAATTTTTAAATTCTTTAGCCTACTTGTTGATTTTTTTAAATTTTATAATCTTATTAAATTTTGTCTTAAATTCCTTCTGATTTTTGGGACCCCTAAATTTACTATAGTTACCAAGTCCAAATATGCATTTAAGAAGTAATATTTATCTATTGTTATTTATCTATTGTTGGTAATTTCTTTATATTAAATGTTAAATTTTTAATAATCCTTCTGATATTTTGAATAATAAAAGAAAAGACTGTAAGTCAGCAGATTAAATGGGTATCCAAATTTATTTAAAGTTTAATTGAGAGTATTTAATTCATGTATTGTTGTTGATTATTGTTGTTGTGTTTATTTATTTAGTTAATTACAGCTCGTTTCTCTCAAATGGCGTGTTGTTCTTGAACCTCCATCCATGGTTCTCATTTTGTTAAGTAAAGTTTTGTGAGCCGCTCCTCGGGCCTGCGCATGGATCACGCTTCCATTTCGTTAGTCTGGGTGCAGGCACGAGGGCATGGTTCAGTAGTTAGAGCTTTTATATTTCAACCTAAGCAGTTTTTATGGAATTCACAAATCCAACTGGAGATGACAGCCTACTATTGTTTACTGTAAATCCTTAAGGAACCACAGTAAATCCAGCTTTACAGTCAACGTTACTATTTAAGGAATAAATAGCTATTTTTGTATTTGCCTCATTTATTACAAATCAATCAGCCCCAAACCACATGACTGCATGGTCTAAAGTATAATTGGTGAATGTTTTCAATGTGTAACTATCGCCAATACCAGTAATAAAAGAAGTGCCATCAGCAAGCATGATGGTCTTTGAAGAATTTGTACATATTGGTAGATCACCGTAACAAGAAATAAGATTGGCCCTATAACTGAACCTTGTGGCACACCAAATTTTATATAAGAAACAGTTAGTTGTTGATCTTTTACCATCTACATCAACAATCGGATAACTTTTCATTACATGTGTGAAGTAATGAATCTAGTTTAAACCCACTGATACTGATGTGGTTTAATTTCAACAAAGGATTGAATTATTGACAAAACCGTAAATGCCTTACTTACTACTCATACCACCTGTGATGTGAACAAAGCTTTTCCCTCCAAAGCATCAATTAAATAATCAACAATCGTTAAAACACATTTGTTGTAATTGTTCATGCTTGATAGCTAAACCCACACAATTACAACTCAATCATTCATTCGACAGTTTCGTTTCCTATGTGATTTAATAACAAAAAAATCTATAAAGTTGTGTCGTATTCCTTAAAACAAACCACAATGTTATAAGGGAGTGTTCTATAGAATATTATTATAATTAGGATAACTGTAATACTCACTTATTACATCAGATTGGACAATTTTGGAAGGAAGAATCTGACAAAAAAGTCCTGCTATGCTAGGTTGACCAGTAAATATTTACCTACATAATAAAAACTAGAAATTTAAATACTCACTTCTGATTCCACTGTAGCCACTTCAATCTGAAATATATGAGTTAAAAAATTAATATAATGGACATTTAATATTTATCAATCTTATCAGTCACATCACCACAAGAGGTAGTACAATACTAACAGTTTATGTCAACTTGTAAACGTATTCGTCGTTATCCTAAAAAATTGTATATTTATTTAAATTATGATTTAACTATTTAAGTGGGTTGAATTATTACTACAAATTATCTAACTACATATAATAATATACTAACAGGCTTAGCCCTCCGTCTGTTCCAAATAGGCTATACTGTATATGCAAAAAATCTGGAATGGGTCCTTATAATTTGCATGTGATGCACAATCTTTCTATATTAAATATATAATATACTAGCAGAGTACCCGTCCTTCGTACGGGGTTAGAATATTAGTATAAAATGCTTATTGCAGTTATACTCAAGCTTTGCGTTTGCAATAAGAGAGGACACAGTTTGATAAATTTTTTTTTAATTTACAATATTCTATATTATTACACATCTACCATAGCCATAATGTTCTACCACTTCACCAAAACAATAGAGAAAAATAAATTATCAACGATTCGCAAAATATCAAAAATTATTCATGAAATGAAAAACATAAACATAACTGTAAACAATCCTACTTTGACAGTTCTCATTGCGAATTACAGTTTTTTGTTGCTGCTTAGTTCAAGTTTTCATAAATGCAAAAAAAATATAGTGCTGCATCCTGTTGGTAAGTCTTATAACTTTTTAATGCTTTTCCATATCATAGAACCAACTTTTTTAGTCGAAACAGCTTACTAAATTTTTTAATTCCCTTTAAATACTCATAAGGTTAACATGGGGAATTACAGAGCCACTGGGGCGGAGCCCCAAAGGATTTTTGAGATAAGAATATGCCTATATGTTAATCGGGAATGTAAGCTATCATCATGCCAAATTTCAGCCCTTTCATGCGTGATTGAACTTAAAACACACAAACAAACACACAAACTTTCACATCTATATATATAATTCTGTAAGACCAAATTTTTACCAGAAAATTATGGACATCTGGTAAGTCGCAGAAAAGTGGGAGGGGTCTTAAATTAAAGGCCCCCCCAGGGACTCGGGAAAAATAGCAGAATTCCCATAAAGTTACCAGAAAACGAGATATAACGTAAAATATCCACCATAAGAAATGCATGGTGACTGAAAAACGTCTGCATTCTATCAGCTGTTACTTATTTATTTGCAATGTTTACATTTATTCCGAAAGTCAATGTTGGTAAATAATGTTTCAAAATAAATTGTGTTTAATTTTTTTGTTTTCCGTTTTATAATGACTAATGAGTGAAGTAACTAGACAGGGTAGGGGAAGACTTGCAAGACGTGGAAGAGTGTCCAGGAATTCAACAGACTTAAGAAATGCCAAAGAGAACGTCATGTAGGGCCTAACTGTGAAAGAAATCCAGAAGCTGTTTTACAACCTGTCTTTAGAAGAACGCTGGAAATGAGTTGAGTGTTGTTTCTCACAATCTATGTCCTCTTAAAGCACTTGCATGCATTGTGGCGCATTTAACTTCGCAGAGGAGGCCACAATGGACATTTCAACGCATGTTGCCACAATGGACATGCCACAACCATAAGTAAATGACGAACTAAAATAACTGTTTTTACATTGGCAGAGGATACACGTCCGGTAACCAGACGTGGATTAGACGTCCGGCAATTACTGTCATAACCTAACCTAACCAACCAAACTTGCTGATGATGAAAAAATCGAATTAAGGTTAAATTCTTTCGCTATTAAAAAATTATAAATGCCAAAAATTCTAATAAAATATGTACAGTTAAGAATAAATGGTATTCAAATGCAAAATCTTCGACAAAAAGTTAAAGTCACCAATGGGACTCGAACCCTGGACCTCGTGCATATCAGCCGAGCACCTTATCCACTACACCACAATCACCGATGGCTGGTCATGGTATTGTTGTAGTAAAGGCGTTCCAGGCTCCCGCAACCCCATGACGTCATTGCCGTACGCCTTATCCACGTCCGGTTACCGGACGCGTATCCTCTACGTTTTAGATTATTCGAAAATAATAAAAAACATAAGGCAATACAGCAGTCGCAGGCTTTTGCGTCGCTTTGCGCTACACAAAAAGAGATTCCGGGAAATGGGCCTTACTGTCTTAAAATTCAGGGACAAATTCATAGATATATTTCTGACTTACTACCGCGAAATGGGGAGTTGCCATCATAATAATTAATAATAATTTTAACCTTTACATTTGGTTCTCAAAATGGAAACTATAACATAATTCGTAAGATTACAAAACAAATCTTCAATTTCAAACTAAAAAAGATGTGCAATGTTTGGCTGTATGATTTCAGCTCTGATTCGTCGTTCTCCGGGCTCAGGCCAGTGTGCACGTTTCCATTTGTTAATACAGTATGTTGTGTTATTGATTTAATCATTATTTTACAATTGTATTTCATTGACACATCAGAAGCAACTAATATACGACTCCAACGGAAGGAAAACCAAGATATAAAACAAGAAACACTGTTAAATTTAAGTAACATAAAATTGATAATTTTAAAAACATATATCGAATATTTGTCTTTTTATATATGTATATATGGTTTTTTTTACTGTAGTCTAAATTAGGGGCTATGGCCCCTACAGGCCACTAGTTTATAATATTAGTAAGATAATAAAATTTTATAATGATACTATAGTTCCGCCGTTAAGAAAACGACCTGCGCGCTAATGCTAAACCACCGCTTTCTAAGCGGCCGAACTATAGCTGCTTTACCCGTGCTTCGCGACCGAGAGGATACTAAAGAGAAAATTTTGATGTTTATATCTGTTGTATTATAATAGTTACACAACCGCCATTGGTTTCAGAAATAAAATTAATGTAGAATAAAGCTTTGGTTTTCCCAGAGCCTAAAACACCATTCGCTTAAATTGTTATCTACATTTATAAAAGAGGAAGTTTGTATATATATATTTGAATGTTATGGACTCCGAAACCGCTCTACAGATTGTAATGAAACTTTTAGGCATTATTAAGCATTATTCAAGGATGGTTTGTGTGAAGTTTGGTGCAGATCCGTCAAAAGGGCTCCGCCCCAGTGGCTCTGGAGTTTACCATGTTAACCTTATGAGTACTCATATTTAAATGGAATTAAAGAATCTTAACAGCTGTTTAATATCTTCAAAGTTAACATTCCCCCAAAAGAAACTTTGAAGATATTAAAACATGATTTAGAAAAGAGCAACATCCTTCCTGAACAAGAAATTAAAGAAATCACAAAACTGACAGAGACATGTCTAAACCAAAATTATTTTACGTTTGATCAAAAATTCTTCCAAAAGAGAAGGCTTGGCAATGGGGTCCCCTTTATCTGGTTTGATAGCTGATATTTACATACATAATTTGGAAGAAAACAAAATTAACAATGATTTAAATCTATACCACTCAAAAATCAAATATTGGTACAGATATGTGGATGATGTCATTTGCCTTTTTGAAGGAAATGAAGAGGAAAATAAAGATTTTTTTAAATATTTGAACACATTGTCCAAGAAAATAAAATTTACCCAAGAAATTACCTATAATGAAATAAACTATCTCGACCTAACTATTTCAAAAAACATAAACAAACACGATTTCAAAATTTACAGAAAATCAACTCAATCAGACCTAATGACACCATCAAATTCTAACCATCCTTGGAAATACAAACTATCTGCTCTTAGATCTATGCTAAATCGTCTTTTGAACATTCCAATGACAAAGAAAAATTACGAGATAGAATTAAACAAAATTAAATACTTAGCATCAAGGAATGGATATAAGCAAAACATTATCTACAATATGATTAGAAACATCAAAAGAAAGAAAAATCAAAATCAAGAACACAACAAAGAAAGAAAGAAAAAAGAGAAATTCATTAGTATCCCATTCAATACAACTCTTAACAGGACAACAAAAAAAAACATTTTAAAATTCTGAATACAAAATTGGCTTTAAAACAAAAAATAACGCTTTCAATATGATAAAAAATAACATTAATACAAATAAATAACATCAAGACATCTATGAAAAATCTGGCATTTACAAAATTAACTGCACTGATTGTGAACACTTCTACATTGGTCAGACAGGACGCTCTTTTAAATCTAGATTCAAAGAGCACATTCAAGCTCTTAAGAGTAACAACAGAACATCCATGAAATCAAACTTTGCTGAACACCTTTTATCGACCAACCACAATTACACAAATTTAAAAAACAACATGAAAATTCTAAAAGTTTTAAACAAAGGAAATCGAATGGATTCAACTGAAGAATATTTCATATACGAAGAAAATCTAAAAAATCCAAATCATATTTTAAATAGCCAAATTCCTTCAAGAAACCCAATCTTTGACCAAATTTTAAAATTAAATAATCAGTAACAAAAATGTTTTTCCAAATCCTGTCTAGTTCTATAAATCATCTGTATATATAAATTTTATTTATTTACAAACAAACAATATAAACAACAGTTAAGTGTTTAATGTATTTTGAAGTTTGAAAATGGACTAATGTCCGAAACATGTCACTTCTTTTTATAAAATATAATATTCAGGGTGCTCAGTTGTACTTATTTACTTAAATATTTATATATATATATATATATATTTATATATAATATAATATAAATATTATATATATACTTATATATATATATATACATATATATAATATCTATATCTATATCCATCTATATATGTATCTATATCTATCTATATCTCTATCGAAATATAAACTGAACATTCAATCACATGCTAACAAAATTAACAGCTATATTTATTTATAACATAATATTTTTGTTTGGAAGTGAACACTTGAAGACGTCTTTATAGACAAAACATGTTGTGTAATTTTATCAAATCAAAAGGGTACTCATGTTATTTTATATATTATTATTGATATATATTAAAATTAAATATATTATATATATATCCGAACGCAATAACTTAAATAATTTCTATCCGGGTTTGATGAAATTTGGTTTAAAGGTGTTAAGGCGGGATAAACTTGAATGAGTTTGCGAAAAAAGTCTTTTTCTAATTTTTGACCCTTAAAACACAAAATTTCACAATTTATCTCTAAACTTTTTTAAAGAGCTTTAAAAACAAATAATTAAATATATCTAAAGTTTTTTTGTACGAGTAAACGAAAAAAATTGTAAATTAAAAGTTCTCATGGAATTCTTATGGAGAATATTGTAAAATGTTATAGTTTGCTTGTTTCTGGATATTTTGATGTTCTGTTTAATATACTTTGATCCAATTTGGAAAATTAATTTATTTTAGACTAAGCTATTAATATTTTTTCAACCCACACTTTATATTAGTTTCGTTGTAGCAGCAAACCTAGGTACTCGTTAAACCTAATGTTATTTAATTAGATTTAATTGAAAATCAATTCAGTCAAATGGAAATTCACTTAGTATTTATCTTTGGATTGTTTCTGTTCTTGAGGATGCTTTCTGTTGATTAGTTAATTAGATCAGACAACTTTATGCGACTATGGATTAGTCGGGAAATATTAGTAGAAAACACTACAAAGCAAGGCTTCTGAAAGAATTCTAAAATTTACAAGGAGTGTTAATTATATCGAACTGTGTGGTAGGATAATTTAATCCAAAACTTTATGATAGATTCTTATTCTAAATTTATTTTAATGATTATGAGACTGATTTTTCATCATATTGTGAAGTATGGGTACAACAGCTAGTGTTGTAGTAAAAAAAACACTAGTGTACATGTTGCTCGAAATCGAGCAATTGCAAAGAAGTACAGGAGTTATTTATAAACGTTTTAAAACTAATAACAATCATAATTTTCGATGATTTTAAAAGAGTCGACTAAAAGTTTATTAACTAATGGAAATACTCACAATTTACATAACAGTCCTATTCCAGTTTAAAGGGTTAATTTTTTACTATCAAAATGCCCATGGACGGGGAAAGGTGAGCTTACAATTTAAGTCAACGTAAAAAAGCTGTCAGCTTTTATAATGTACCGTACCTAAGTTATTTAGCCAATTTGTAGACAATAAGGTGTAGGCTACTTTAAACTCTACAGAACAGAGTTAGGCAAAAACTGGCAGAACTCTGAAATGGTGTTATTTATCATAGGCATACTCATATGCCAAATCCTTAAAATAAAAATTCAATAATTAATAACTTACGGTATATCATTAAACACAAACTAACATCCAAAACTATACACATTTGTAATGCAACATAGATAATTATTTACACATTGACTGTTTATAATTAACATACCTATGTTCATCCTCTCACTTTTAATTTTTGCTTCGCAACGGGAAAAACCTGTTTCATGATCATTGAAATAGATGTAGGATAATAAATAATCTATCATAAAGTTTAAGATTAAATAAACCTACCACATAGTTGTTTTATTTTTTTGGATCAGCTGTCTGGAATTGTGAAATAGGCATTTGACAGTTCTGGTTGTTTACTTTTAAATGTCAAAGCAAATGTAAACATTGTGAATTTTCTCATGCTTCCAAGGAGACCAATTATTAATATTTAATTTCTGAAAACAACAGGAGTTTCAAAACAATGTTTGTTTCCCATCTTAAAAAGTTAGTTAGTTTGTTTGTTTAATCTTACGAAACTTTAAAGGGCGCCAGGGCCTCGCTCTCTAATTATTTACCTAAAGAGAAAGTTTCCTGCACAACTTCACGTTACGCTCTTTCCAATGACACCAAAAACATGTCAATCGGTTCAGTAGTTTCGGTGGAGTAATTGTCTCAAAAATCTTGCTTGCGTATTAAATAAGTACTAGAGGTCGTCCAGTGGTCGAAACTCGACCAAAAATATATAATGTACATACTTCTCTATTTTCACCCCACACTGTAAATAAAACATGTGATTGGCATTTCTTCTATTTGTTTTGATTTTCTGTTTATATTTCGTTGTTATTTCGTCACCAGCATGACAACCCATAAAGCCCATGTTAATTGTATTCAAGTTTCAAATTCATTTTTTGTGCTTATTTCTGAGCCTATTTTAATTTTTAAAGGGTTTCTGCACACCTACAGAAAAATATCTTTCTAACGGTATGCGTAGATTTTCGCTGCGATACACACGAGCTGAGAAAAAAGGTTTTAAAGAAACATGCTTGCCTATTAATATATAGATAGATAGATTTTATTAACAAAGATTAGCATGCTATTTTTTACCTGATTCTCCACTTCGAATCAGTTTTTCTCCAGTCGAATCAGTGTTTGTTAATGTTCATCCAATTATAATATATAAACAATATCATGTAGGACGAGTGAATAAAGACGAGGTAGTAATGTAGTAAAGAATCTAAGTATTAGACTCACCTTCCATTCACTCACACCTTTTTCTCGGTCCCAGTACGTCAAAACCTGAAAAGATATTTCATAACATATTTTAAATTATTTTATTTTATTTGTGCAATACTTGTTTAAAGAATAACTTAAAAAATAATATCATAACATTTTTAATATACAAATTTGGATTTTAATTGCATTATACTTTTGAAATACATTAATTAAAGAAGTTTATACTATATCTGTCATAACAAGAATGTTTATTAAATTACAACTGTTTAGTTCTGTATTTGAATTTGATGATATTTTATTTTTTGATGCCTAACTAAAAATCTTTGCCTCACAAGAATAAACCAATATTTTCTTTCACATTAAAGAGTGTATTTAATAAACACTTTGTGGTAAATTTATTTTTAATTTTAAGAGAATGTAATGTAATGCGTTGTTATTTGATCTTAAAACATTTTAAATATGCCAAAATAACAATCGGCCAATGCAGTAAGACATAATCTATTCCGAAAACCTTAGGATAACTTAGGCCATATGTGTTACGGTTTAATTTTTGTAACAACACTTTAAAATTAATTTAATAAAATTATAGCACATTTTAATTCGTCTTATTGGTTTTAACAACTTACTTCTTCCTCAAATTGAACCATTTCCTGCTTTATCTGTAAAAAAAAAAACATATTGATAATAAAATTGTTCATCAATTTTATGTATTGAACCAGTCTATAATATTATTAGTTGGCAGAATAAACTAGTGAATTCCCAACTAGAAAAAAGAATGTATAAATGTAGTGGAGAGTTCTACAAATGTCAATTGACAAAAAGCATATCTATTGCCATTCAAATCTATTTTCTCACAAGTGTTTATGTTAGTTGGTATTTGTTATTATTATTTTTTACTCTTATTAAATTGGACTACTACAAACGTGTCTTGTATTCAAAACAGCACAACGTTTTTGACCTCCCGTTACAAGTGATAACCACTTAGGCCTACTTTTCATTAATCTCAAGATTAATATAATACAGTAGTAACATTTTAGAATGTACGTCGTAATTATTTTCATTATATTCTTACACATTATAAACAATATTTTTTTATATAAGAAAATTAGTTTTTTTATAAATCATAAGTACTCAATGGCTAATAATTGAATTAATGTCTGGATTTCAGCTTTTCTCGCCTAACAGCTATCGTTATTTCTCCAAACCAAATTGACAAGAGTGGACGGATTTTTTTTTATTTTTTTGTTTACAAAATACTTCAAAACAAATCTATAACATGTCCATATAAAAGCCTATAAAATAGATACGAGGCTCCTAAATTGGTACCTAAACGGAGCAACGATAACAACCCAGTACAGTACAAACACACTCACAACACCGGGGACTACATGTGTGAGGAACTCACCTATATTAACACAGGGCTTTGCTTACAAAACAATAAATATATACTTTAAATACAGAAGAACAAATTGGTTAGTGCGAAATATTATATCCATAGCCCGTTGCCAAGGCTTATATTAAAATGATATATTAAAAAATTATATCAAATTGGTTTAAAAATCAATGCTTAAACCTATAGTCTAATTCATTACCTCTGCTGCAGTAGCCTCCCATGCTATAAATGCCTGAAACAGACGCATACTTTAGTGGCCAACGTAAAATTTACTTGACCTTTTTAACCAAATATTAAAAATTTTAATAATGGCTTAATTTAAAATTATAGTTCTGTAGTGACTATATACAACTATTTGATTTTTCATTATCAGCAAGTTTGGTTAGTTTGGTTAGGTTATGACAATTAAAGTTAAATTTAACTTACAAACTATACGTTTTTACAGCGACGGTGATAGAGCTAACAATTTGCCGCGAACAGTTCGGCAATGCACGGTATGATGCGGAAGCTTCCACACCAACCTAGAACTGACAGGTCAACCCAAACAGCTGGTCTGGAAGCTCTGAATTAAAAAAATAGCACAATTTTGCCCCATACCAGTCAAATGGAATAATCCTGTTACTTTTTATGTCCATAATCAAAGAATTCTAGTGGCACTATTGTTTTTCTTAATATTTTTTTCATAGGTTTTCAGATATATTATAAGAATTTCAGAAGTATAGAATAATTAGGTTCAGCAAAAGGGTAGTCATACTTACCACCACGCACATCACGAACACATGATGAAAGGTCTTCATGTTGAAGTTAGTGGAACTGAGCTGAACTGAGCGCAAATTTATACCAGTTGAAACTATACGCTCAAGGCCTCAATTTAATGGTTGCCCTAATCATCTTCAATTAATTATCTGATATTAGTCATGTGTCAAGTGATTCGCTAACGTATTTTAAAAATTTCGACATTCCAGTGAGCTAAACTACAAAACTACACCCATAACAAGTTTAACTTTTAGACATTTAGAAAACTACATTTTGTATTTTGAATATAAACCATTCGTGAACCTACCCTAAGTTGTTAATATTGGAAACTACTGAAGTTAGTTGTAAATAGTCTATGCACAGTTCTATTACATTATAACGTATAATTTAATAATCACCTTAACTCAACTATGAGTATTCAAATTTTCACGAAAAACTTAAACAAAAATTTAGGGTTTTCACTTGTGTAATGCAATTGAGTGATTAGAAATTTACAACCAAACGTTAAATACCTTCAAATATGAATTTATGACAGTTAGTTTTACGTTGGTCATAAAATTTTCTTACGATTTTTGAACTAGGAATTTCAATACTTGTTTTCCACCTTAGCTAATAATGATTCTAGCCCTAACTTTTCAAGTTCATCCTACTAATATTATAAATGAGAAAGTTTGGATGTATGGATGTATGGATGTATGGATGTATGTTTGTGACAAGTGAACGCAAAAAATACTGGTCGAATTGGGCTGAAATTTGGCATGATGATAGCTCACATTCCCGATTAACATATAGGCATATTCTTATTTCAAAAATCCTTTCGGGCTCCGCCCCAGTGGCTCTGGAGTTTCCCATGTTAACCTTATGAGAAATGGAATTATTGAATCTTTACAGCTGTTTCAATTAAACAAGATGGTTCTGTTCTATGATGTTCAATAGCATTAAAGTTACAAGGATTACCAACAGGGTGCAGCACTATTATTTCTTTTACATTTATGACAACAGCTAATTTGCAACCAAAAGGTGAGTGAGCGTAGCGAACAAACTTCAACCTGGAGGCGAGGTAGCGTAGCGAACGAGCTAACCTGAAGGCAAGTGAGCGCAGCAAACGAGCTCCGACCTAAAGGTGAGTGAGCGTAGCGAACAAACTTCAACCAGGACGTGATTGAGCCATGCGAACGAGATAATCTTGAAAATTTAGAAAAATTAAACGGGGCAAAGCCCGCGGGTTACAGCTAGTACTCAATACGTCTCAAATTAATCTTCAATGTGTATTAGTGTATCTATATATTTAATACGCTAGGCATATTTTTGTCATAATTGTTTTGGAGCGGTGGTGCTACTGATCACCATGTCCAAGGTGTCGTTAGAAAGGTCTAAGCATGTAGTTTTGCCATCAAACAAAAAAAAACTTTGGAATTCCATCAGGGCTCTGTCCCAGTGGCCTTCAAAGTTCCCATGCTATTCTTAGGGAGAAAATGTTTGTTTACATTTGAACAGATGAATATTTTTGAAATTGACACTAATATTTGAAACAGCTGGTTATACTAAAATTGTAGACATGTGCTATAAGGATTTATTTGATTAGTTGAAAAGATTTTATGTTTCACTGTAGGCAACACTAATCCTGAAATAAAAATTCAGCGACCAGGACGGTCAATAGGAGGAGGCCGACGAACTTTAACTGGGAGACACGAAAGAAATACAAATAATACGATTGCCGTTGATAGCCGAATACTATGTTAACGTTTTAAAGGTAAACGTTCGGATATATACCTAACATCAGAAAGAGACTGGAACAAGATTGGGAGATGGGCCATTTTGAAACGCAGTTTGTCACAGGACATGGAAAGTTTCAAGGCGAATTTGTGGAGATTTCACCTGTTGGAAGAGGAAGTATGTAGATGTGGAGAAACAAAAACCACGAGTCATGTATTTATAAATAGTTCACTTCAGGAGACAAATAGGAGAAAAGTGGAAGAAGTCTTGGATAAGAGAGGTCTAGAGATGAGAAAATAAAACATGATGAGTGACAAGTGAAACAATTGAGACGTTTAGAAAAGTAGCTAAGGAAAACCCAGGAATACATACAAGGTTTTTAAATTAACAAAGAAAAACTAAGAAAGAAAAGGAATGAAAACTTGCCCATGAAGGGGAGAGGAAAGGTTAGAGCTAATCTCAATGATCCCATTCGCTCAGGGCGAAATGGGGAAGGGAGTCGTGCTGTTAGGCTTTTGGACACATCATGTGTCTGGACGAGGATTGAAAGTGGCTGAAGCCTAAAAAGAAAGAAGACATTTCACGGGGAATTGGCCTGGCAAATAAGTCACAGACTTAAGTGGGTGGTGGGAACGAGGAGTTTGCTACAAACATTTACTGACTTGGTTGAAATGAAATATTTACTATTTGAATTTGGGTTGGCGTAAATATTACAATGGAAAAAAGCGAGAGAGCCTGGATAATTTGATATACTAAAAAGAAAACTGAATTAACACTGTGCTGCATTTTTAGTAATCATTGAAAGAGCTGATTTGCAAACTCTGGAAACATAGGAGAGTCATAGAACACCACCAAGGAGAAGAAATCGAAATAATGTTTTTTTTTTTATTATAATCGTTATTAAGGACAACCTAATGCGGCTATGAGTATAGCTATTTGTAGAAAACACTATTTACAAGAAATGTTGATTATATCGATCTGTTATGTACATCTTGAGTATTTCCATAATCTTTGAGTTGAATCTTTTAAAGTCATCAGAAATTATGGCTGTTATTCGTCTTAAAATAACACCTGTAATGCTTAGCAATTGCTCGAATTCGAGCAACAGGTACACTAGTTTTTACTTACAAGATCTGATCTAAGAGCTTGATTAAATATAGGTAATAGGAAATGCAAAGACGCGTTTTCAGGTTATGATAATAATCTTTTAGACATTAGTATATATCTTAGATGTTTTAACTTTCAAATCATGAGCTTTCTAACCCTACAAAAAGCAACTATATTTGCAATGGTTGAATTAGTATGAGAAAAACTCATAAACTGAAATGTAATGTATAATAAATAGTTAAATCTATCTACTGTTATTTTTGTTCCCCGAACGGTATTGGGTTAGAATAGGACCAGAGTCTTCCCGGGCTTGTCGTAAGAGGCAACTAAAAGGGTGACCGACGCTGCCATTTTGAGTCCCTAGGATTGCCCCTGTTGTGTTGCAGGGGTTGTTGTGTGCTTGGGCCAGTTGCAACGAAGGTCAAAGGTATTTGAAGGGTCGACAAAGTCCTCCCTCCCAAGAGTGCCCAGTTGAATCGGCGGTCAACAATCTGTCACGCTTGGATTATCCTTCCCCTCCTCGAATGCTTTTTATCCCCTCTTTTGCGTTCCATCGTATATAGTCTGCGCCAAATATTTACCATAAATAGGGAACAAGCAGCTAACCCTTTCTTTGCTACGAGGTAAAGAGTAACAAACAAACATTACAAACCCATAGACTGATATCAACACACTCTATAATATAATTTTCACATAAAATTATTATCTCTTTGCTTGAAATATATCTTTTGAACTGTATTTTTTGTAAACCTAATCTAACCTAACCTAACCTTAACTTAGCCAAACCTAACAGTTTACCGTACTAACTACGTTTAACAACATTTCAATGGGAGGGGAGGGCGTCAGGGGTCTTTGACATCCGGTGCAACTGGGAATCACACTATGACCATCGGTGCAACTGGGCATTCGAGATTAAGGACACCCCTGACCATCGGTGCAACTGGGAAACTACCGTGTGCTTTGCACTGCCGATGGATATTCTCAGTGGGTCGTAGGGAACCAGCCTCTTCGGTCCTTGGTCAGGGAGTGCGGCATGGATGTAAAGGATGGGCTCTGCATTGCGATGGGCCACCCCCGGCACGTCAGGTATCTGGTGCTGGGCAAATGGAGGTCGGGCCCCAGGGAAGGAGGTTTTGTCCCAAATGGGATACCCGTTCCTAACCGATTCCCGGACACTCCTTGCTGCAAGATGCGCTGAAAAAAATGCTTGTAACAAAACCCACACAAACACATCATTATTGACTAGGAGCTCAAATGATCGACAAAATACGTTTGAAGTGGAGCGGAACCATTTTGTTCGTGTTTCCAAGGTTCAGAGTGACCCAGGACGGCTGACGCGCTTCTCTGTCCGCTTGCCCTCGAACACGATGTCTACGTGATCTGGGTGCGTAATACAGCTAAAGTACAAGTGTGGGGTCGAGCAAAGGGCCAAGGTTTCGTTTGGGTTCGGTGCAAGGATGTCATTTACTTCAGCGTCTAACTCACTCCCAACTAGGCCATCCGTGACTATCGTGGAAGAGAACGTAAGCAAAACCACAGGACACGTCGTAGTGGGTGGGATATTATTGCTAGGGCTGTCGAGTGTGAAATGACCCTCATCAATTCTCGGGAAAGTACATTCTGGAATTTGCTGTCAGAGCCGGACTCGTTGTCGTCAACGACGGCAACATGCCAACTTTCCGGTGCCCTAGGATGCGGGGAACGATCCCAGACATTACCCTTGCATCTGAGTCCCTTTTGCCAAGGATCAGAGCCCGGGGAGTTCTGGAGGATTATTCGAACAGTGACCACCAGTACATACATGTTGATGTAACAAGAGCCAAGTAGCCACGTTTCGTCAAGTACCCGTTCGATGCAACATTAAAAAACTGGACGGGGCAAAATTCAATTGAACCATCTTACGAGGAACGCCGGTGGTTCCTACCGCAACTGGCTGGCTCAAGCAGAGGCGTTAATGATGGGGCTAATTATCTCCGCCTGCGGTGAGTATGCCTCACAGGAGATCCCAGCGCAATAAGTGATCTGTGCACTGGTGGCCACTGGTGGACTGCCGAGATTGCAGAAATACGTCAAGCAGCATTGAGATCCAGAAGACTTGCTACCAGGGCTAGAGAATCCGTAGACAGACGGCGTAAGTCGGATGCTTACAGGGTGGCTAGGAGGTCTCTTTATCGAGCCATCGACCGGAGTAAATGCAGTTGCTGGGAGACATTAAGGGGAGCTGTCGTTTTCT